CTGTCTTGTTGTCCGTTTGCGTGAGTGCACCTTTAAGTCTAACTTTTGTAACGTCTACTTCCATTGTTAACGACCAAGACAAATTTCTCCCTGTGAGATGAATAAAGATTGTCATTGTCATTGTCATTGTCATTGTCATTATCATTGTCATTGTCATTGTCATAACATGGTATGTGTTAATGTGGGAGATTGGTCAGTGTGTTTAGATAGAATGTGTTTAAAGTCTGTTTGTTTTCTTGTTTGTTTGTTTGTTTGTTTGTGTCTTAGGAAAAGGTTAGAGTCAAGTACGTCTAGATCCTGGGGAGATACAATAACCTGGTATGTGTTAGTATGAGATATTGATCAGTGTTTGTGGATTAGTTTCGTTTTATTGTGTTCGTTGAAGGTCTCCATGTCTTTTGTTTGTTTGTTTATTTGTTTGTTTATTTGTTCGTTTGTTCCAGAAGACATCAGGGTTCAGGACATCTAGATCATGGGGAGATACAACGACACGTCATGTGTTTATTGAGGGGTGTTGGTCAATGTTTGTTTGTTTGTTTGTACCAGGAACAGGTCTTAGTCCAGGGCACCCAGGTCCTGAGGACCAACAGCAAAACGTTATGTATATAGATTACTTTTTATGTATGTGTTGAACGTGTTTATGTTTGTTTGTTTTTTGGTTTATTTATTTGTCTATGTGTTTGCTTGTTTGTTTCAGGAAGATTATAGCCAAAGGGGTCCAGATACTAAGAAAGAACTTTTTTATTTTTTTCTTGGTGCTGTTTTATATTTGGATGCATCAAAACGTCTTACTGAAGGCGTGCATTTAGTTTCTCCCCTTTTCCTTCAGCGTGGCTCTTTAAAGATGGGCCTATTTAAAGAAAAGGTAGTACACTTTTAAGAAATTACCTGGCTAAATCATTCAAAAAATGTTTATGTCTCTTTAAAAATGTTTCTATCAACAGACACCGTAGAAAAACGTTTTTAGATCAGGGTTCCTCTTACTTCCCCCCCACACGATCCTCCTCTGGATCTCACAGGCCTTCATAAACCCCTAACTTTTCGAGAAATATAAAAATTTCAACAAAAATTAGCCCGCTGCCCTAGTTTTGACATTCAGAAACGTCTCTGGAGCCCCCAGGAATGGATCCCACCGGACATTCAAGCACCCTAGCTAGGGTTCCCTAGCTTAAGACTTTATGATCTGGCGAAATAATTTAATGCTTTTTGTGGCTCTTTTAAGATTTTTCTATCTACAGAGACACTGGCTAGAGTTTAGACAATACCTGGCTGAATCTATTGAGGATCCGGCCCATGGGTGTTGTGTCAAAGAAACTCATTGGTGTTCTCATGAGGGCGTCGAGCATGTTGGCGTGGATGACTCGTGACGTCACAACATGGCGGTATTGCATGATGGCGGAGTAGGTCATGCAGCAGGCAGCTGTGGGAAGAGAAGGGGAGGGGTGGATGAATGGAGATGGTTGCGGATTTGGGGGTGGGGGAGGGGGACATGGGTGTAGTGTGTAGGGGATGGGAGGGGTAGATGGACGGGGTGGGGTAGGGAGAAGGGATGGAGGTCGAAGGATAGGGTGGGAAGAAGGAGGCAGAGGAAAAAAAGAGAATGAGAAGGGGGATGGGGAGGGAAAGATGGATGAGGTCGAAAATTAGTGGAAAGGGGAGTAATGGGGTTTGAGTGAGCGTTATGAGGAAAAGACCTCGTTAGGTAGCTGGTCCTTTCCTTTATGTAATAAAAGCATTAACATTTCGAAAATTAAAGGGTGGCTGAGAGTTGGATTCAATCCCAAAAGGGCGCTGTTCAGGAAAAAATGCAAGTTCTTGCCTTATTTTCTGCTTTAAAAAAAAACAATTACATGTAGTCGCAACTACAACAACAACTACAATAACAAGGACAAAAACAACAACAAAAAAGACAACAGCAGCAGCAGCAACAACACCACCATCACCACAACAAAAACACTATCGACACCAACTTACTCTGAACCACTCCCAAACCGGCGTAGATCTTGATATAGTGCCAGTTCCTGTCCCATCGTCCCCCGCTGGCTGCGGGCAGGGTCGTGAAGTTGGCAAGGTCATGATCATCGCTCCACTGGGCCAGCCATGTGTAGGAGAAGTTGTAGGCGAAGTGGAAGCCCAGCACAAAGAGGACGCTGACACAGGCGTACTTGTAGCCATAGGCGCGGAGAAGGTCCAGGTACACGCTCCATCGCACCTGGTGGATAGGAATAACATTATGATAATCGAACCTGTTCTAATGACCACTTGTATAAAACCATCACATTATGCAGAAAGAAGAACTTCCAACTCCCCTCCCCCCTCCCCACTCCTCTGTGCGCTTTTCGATATTACTAACGACAAGTATAATGATGATACAGTCCAAGATGATCAACTGTATAAGGTTACCACGTTTTCTTGGAATATGGATGGCCGACTTGGATAGGCCTGATTGTCGTTTTATATCCGTGTTGCAGTCATGTTGCTGGGGATTTTGGTGTTGTTGTTGTTGTTGTTTT